CATTTCAGCTTGTAAAATATAAAATTAAGACCTTGTACATATTCAAGTACGTGAGAGCAGTGCTCAGCCCCCCTAGCATGTCCTAGACGCAACAGAAAATATTGGTTGTAGTCGTTTTATACAACATTTCCTGATGAGAAGGCAAAATTGTAAGAATGTAATTCTTTAAATAAATTAAAATCATTTTAGGCAACATATTCTCATTAATATTCACCCATGAGCTTACTTGTTATAAAGTTTTAAGCCTTAAACAACTTTCTTTTTAATATTTAAACCATAAAGTAATCTAGAAAATTCTTCTTACTGTCTAAATATTTATAAATACTTTCCTTAATCGACTCGAAATTGTACAGGGTTACCCAGTAAAAATGATATATTAATAACGTCCTGAAATCCCAAGATATTATAAAATTCAATTTTACATTCAACTATAGAGACCTCTTGTGGTAGTATTTGGAACTGCCTAAACCCCCATGTCACATGCTTAGCTCTCCTTAAAAGGAATAATTCCACCGGAGCTCCTCTTTTGGAGAACTCTCCTCAAACGGAAGGAATGTCATTTATTTATATTTTCTCCCTTGAAGGGACTGTATCGTGATTTCAAGTGACCCTCCATTTTTAGGGCGTCATGTCTTTTTGTCAACGTTATCTTTAAAAGCTGTGTCTGACCAAAAATGAATTTTGACTATTTTCAATTGTGGTTTCTCTCCAAAAGTGGTTTGAGGATTTCTGATTTTCAATTGTTAGGATTAATATATTTCAAGCTAGAAAAACGAGGGTACAAAATTTAGTGTCACTAAATTTCAACAACAGTCCCTTTAAAAATAGCTTTATAATGATATATAAAATAAATTTATAGTTAAAGAGAACTAAGAATTAAAGACAAAAACTGAGCTAAATTCGCACAGTCAAGTTTTATTCTTTGTGTGCAACAAATTTTTCTATTCTCTTTATCTTTGCGACCGATGTGATGCAGACCCTTGATATTTCAAACTATGAATCTTGTGCATGAAGTTGGAAATATCAAAACTTTTCACAAACAGGTTGTAAAGATGTAGAGTTTAGAAATTGAGGCGTGAAATCAGTTCCTTTCCTTACACAAATTAATGTTGTTAGGATTGCTAATTGATTCAAATGGTTTACTTTACTTCTGAATTCACTTAACAAGTTTGAAACATTTCAAGGGACTCTTCCTGGATTTTGGAATGAATTTTGTCAAACATAAATAACTATTTTCAAGTTAATGTTCCTAAATTTTGGAAGGAATATTGTCAAACATAAATAGCTATTTTCAAGTTAGTGTTCCTAAATTTTGGAAGGAATTTGTAAAACATAAATAGCTATTTTCAAGTTAATGTTCCTAAATTTTGGAAGGGAGTTTGTAAAACATAAATTGCAATAAAATCAATGTTTCTTTTAAAATATTTGAGAAGAATTAGCATTACATATTTTTTATGTTAAATTAATTTTCTTACTCTTTCTCTGATGGGGAACTTAAAAACTGCAGTATTGGTTGTTAGGGAGGTGTGGGGGAGTGGAGGGGGCAATTTACTAGATTAAATGTTACTTTCCTAAACATTTCAATTTTCAATAAGTTTGAAATTTGACCATCTTTGAAATCTTGCATGGTTTTAAATAATTTACTCTAATGAAGGTATCATATCTACGTTGTTTGATCATGGTAAACCAGCATTTGTCACCCAAAAACTAAAAGTCTAAGGAACACCTTCCAGAGTTTCGTGGTGGTAGTTATGTTGTGAAAGGAAACATGGCGTAAAAGTAAACATCGTGCCATTGAATTATTTTATGTGAGAAAACATTTCACTTTGGAAACTTTTAGAAAATGTCCGGAAATATTTTACGATGAAAAGTTAATTTTTTCAAGTCGGAAACATTAAGGAAACTGGCAGAAAATATTTGTTGGAGGAAACGTACTGTGCTGAAACGTTTTGTGAAAGGAAACATTTTGTTGCAGGAAACGTTTTGTGGTAGGAAAGTTTTGTGGAGGAATCGTTTTGAGTGGAAACATTTTTTGGCAGCTGAGGTTTGTTGTGGGGAAACTTTTTTTTAATGTTTCGACTTTCAATCAGTTGATATATTCAATACTTTTATTTCATTTTACAGAATCAGTAACCGTAGAATCCTTTTCTTAGGAAAGCTCTGGAAAAATAAAGCTTTTTTTAATCTTTTAATCTTTTATTGTTTTGTAAAAGTTTCTAAAGCTCCTTAGACACAATTTCCATCATACATGTTTTTATTATTAACTTTAATTTTAGATGCCAAGGCCAGGGACCTCTGCATTTTGAAACCAAAAAAATAGCGTTTTTGTTTTCATTGAAGGATTTCCAACAATACTTAAAAATCTAAATTTTTTAGAGGCACCATTTTTATTTCAAGCAACCATAAACCTTTTTTGGGACCATGTGAGGTACAGCGTTTATATCAATAAAACGAAGACGACTTTTCTATTTCAGTTTTGACTTCAAGCAAGCTTTACAAGTAAACAAAGAGAATCTGTAAATTGGCAACCTATCTTTGATGATATTACAACAATATATGTATATAAATTTCTTACATTTTAAGTAATAACAACGATGAATAATTTCTTGAGCTTTCTTGTTAAAATTGGTGGACTTCAAAAAATTTGTAAATCCTAATTTTGCGTAAACAACTTTTTTAAAGGTTTCGACCTTGAGATTTAACAACAAGACTAATGAGCCATAGGTAAAATATCACTTAGAAGTGTTTTGGAAAAAATCTTAGGAAAAATGCGGGAGTTTGTTTATTTTAAAACTCTTCCATTAGACTATTGTAAAATTAACTAAAGTATTCATGAAAAAAAATTGAGTCCGATCGGTTTAGCTGTTTTGACGTTTACTGAACACAAACAAACAAACAAGCCAAACCTATAAAGAAATGGAAATACTTACATTTAATATCTAAACTAACAGCATTACTCTCCCCGTCCCCAACAGCATTAGAGGCAATACAGGTATACAGCCCACTTCTTTTCCTAAACAAAAACAGGTATACAGCTCACTTCTTTTCCTAGACAAATACAGGTATACAGCCCACTTCTTTTCCTAGACAAATACAGGTATACAGCCCACTTCTTTTCCTAGACAAATACAGGTATACAGCCCACGTCTTTTCCTAAACAAATATAGGTATACAGGCTACAGCCCATTTCTTTTCCTAGACAAATACAGACACTTTTTTCTTCAAAAATTCGATTTTTTTTGTTTAATCTAAATTGTTTTTTAAATTCGATTTTTAAGATTCCACGGGCAACGCCGGGAACTTCAGCTAGTATTGTATTTTATGTGTAATTTCCTCCAATTATGTATGCATGTTATTGTTCTTACATCTGTTCGACTACAAACCATATATATAACTTTACAGAGATAATTGTAAATGTATGTTAAGGATCCCTCCCTTCAAAAAATAAGCATAACTGACAAAACAAATGAAAATAGATATATTGAATATCAAATAAACGTAATTTCAAGTTTCTCTCAATTTATAGAATGCCATATTTGATTTACAAATTGGTTTCATTTAATCATTTTGCTTGAGCAAAATAACTGAGCATAGGATGTTTTCCTATATTAAATTTTATATTTCAAACTGCGGTTCTCTGTAAAAGTGACTTTTGGACTGATACAGAAGCGAAATTGTTGGAAAATATTTAAGTCTTTGTCACAGACTCTAATTTTCTGATTTTAATATCTATGCAACCCAATGTCCTATACCTTAGATATTTCAAACTAGAAATTCTGTTAGGCAATCTTATTTTGAGATATCAAAGGTTTACACCATCAGGTTGCAAGAACATTGGGATTAGAAAATTTTAACTTATTGCAAAGACTAAATTCTTTTAGAGAAATTATATATTTCAGAAAAAGACGATGCTTATTCAGTCTAAGGGGTAAAAGGTATCTTTGTGAATTGAGCTTGTACATCTTAAAATTGAGGATCACTTGAAATTACGTCCCTTAAAGATGTGAGAAAAAAATAATATATTAAATTTTATATTTCAAACTGCGGTTCTCTGTAAAAGTGACTTTTGGACTGATACAGAAGCTAAATTGTAGGAAACGAATTGAGTCTTTGACACAAACTCTAATTTTCTGATTTTAATATCTATGCAACCCAATGTCGTGTACCTTAGATATTTCAAACTAGAAATTCTGTTAGGCAATCTCATTTTAAAATGTCAAAGGTTTACACCATCAGGTTGCGAAGACATAGGGATTAGAAAATTTAAACTTATTGCAAAGACTTAGTTCTTTTAGAGAAATTATATATTACATTAAAAGACGATGCTTATTCAATTTAAGGGGTAAAAGGTATCTTTGTGAATTGAGCTTGTACATCTTAAAATTGAGGATCACTTGAAATTACGTCCCTAAAAGATGTGAGAAAAAAATATGTGTTGGATTAATAAAAAGCTCACCTTTTAACTCCCTGTAACACCAGACTATGGTTTCCAAAGAGAATGCCATTTTCTTTATTTTCAGACAAAAATTTTCCCTGAAAGAGATATTTTTTCATTTTTTATTCCAGTGAGAAATTGAAAAACTACTTACTGATGAGGGAAAAACATTGAATATTCGAAAGTGAAATTACAAACAGTTGGTTGGAAAATTGAAACATTTTTTAAAGTAAAATAAAGTTTTAGATTATTCTAACAACTCCAGTTATTTCCAGCTAAAAATGAGTAAGATAACCCGCTTATTCGTTATATTTGATGTATTTTTAAAACTAGGGCTAGCTAATATGTTTAAGAATAATCTAAAAGGGACAGTAAAGGAAAAATGAAAGGGGCTAAAAGCTAATCACTTTAGCTCTCGATCGCGACCCATGAAAGTCATATCTGATGTTCATATCTCGAGAAATTGATTTACAACTTTGTGAAATTTATTTATTTTTAAAAAGATCAAATTCAGCAAATAACCAACCAATCTGAAAACGATGATATCCCAGAGAAAGCTAATTATAAATTAGGTTTACTTTTATATTTGTAATTTTTATTTTTAATAGATTTCATTCATAATATTATTTATACGTCCGTATTACTTGACCAGAAATTCCACCAATGGCAGTGCAGTAAAGTGGTCACGTGATACATGCGGAGACACGTAATCAGTATACTGCTTTGCCATTGGTGATAGTTCTGGTCACGTGATTTAAGTTTAAGATTTTATCAATTTTACACATATAAATTTTCGTATTATTTTAACACAGCTTTATATCAATTTCTCGAGATAGGAACATCAGATAAAACTTTCATGGGTCGCGATCAAGAGCTAAAGTGATTAGCTTTCAGCCTATACCCCCTTTCATTTTTCCTTTACAGTCCCTTTAAAGAAAATAATTTCCTTCTTTCTTGAGGGAAAAGTTTGGTTCTTAATGAACAGCTTGCAAGCATATTTGTTGAAGACAGTTTTACAACTTTGTTGCATTTAGAGAGAATTCCAGAGAATTTATTAAAGTAAATTATACTCCCATTGCATTAGCTTGTAAAAATTCTCTGGGGGATTATATTCATCAAAACTGTAGATATATTGGGAGAAAAGTTGTTATTTTATGTTTTACGAATATTGAAAATTGTATTGTTATTGAAATTAAATTCCAAGTAAAAATCTATTAAGATTTTGTCCCGAGTCTAAAACTAAAGAATGCGCGAAATTTAAGTGATAGCTTAAAAGTTCTGAAAAATCATAATTTGCTATTTAAATATTAAGCTTTCAAAATTTAACCCTGCAGGAAATTTAAATTTCCCGGGGAAAATATGAACCAATCAGATTGCTGGAATTACGGAGATTACGGATCGACAGAGATTTTGCAACATCAGCTGTTTCGTAATTTCAATTTCTTCACAAAACTGCAGCGCGAATAATAACAAAATATATTTAATATTTATTTATTCCAGATGACGAGAAAAGATTCATAAACTTAAATCGTCAGAATAAATCATTTTCATGCATTAAATTATCGCAAAATTGAATGCAGATATTTTCGGGTTTAAAATTTTATTCTCCGAAATAGAAGAGTTAAATATTTAAGCTGTAACTTAAAATTCAGGTTCAAATTAAGTCATACGTTGCATATAAGCTAAAACTTAACATTTAAAGTCATAATTTTTTTTTCATTAGTTTTAGACTCAGAACTCCAATGAAGTGGACAAGCGTCTAGGGAAACATGAAAATTAAAAAAACTTTACGGTCGACCTGGTCTTGAAAATTGATGCATAATTTTGCTCGCTGTCTGGCTCTGATCACGAGGTTGAGTTTAAACTATGAATGCGGTGAGCTTTGAATGTTTGTGGTCTATTTTGATATTCTAACAATTTATAATTAAACCGGGTTAAATTAAAACCATGGTATGAAAGGGACTGTTAGCGAAGTTTAAAGTCACGCTTCATTCTAAGATGACACAATGTATACAATTCTAAACTTATTATTTTCAATTGACGTTTCAATACAAAGTGACTTTTGTATTTCTACTGCAGGATAGCTCATAAAAATTATCAGAATTAAACACTTTTGAGCCAAGAAAAACGTCAATATCTTCCACATTTTTTATTCAAGGAAATCGTTGTAGATCGGGCATTGTCATCTTTGCATTGAGGGTCACCTGTAATTACGCTTACAGTCCCTTTAACATGTAATCCTTTATCCAAAGGACGTCGATGAATTGGGTAAACGTTTTGTCATATTTTATTTTGTTTAGTGTGTTCGTGATTGAACTAAAGCAAAGATGAGATTTTAAAAGCTTAAACCCAAGTAAAACCCAGTCTTTGCGTCTGCTTAGACCCAAGTAAAGCTCAAGTCAAGACCCGGGTTTTTGATGGCCTTGAGTTTAGTAAAAACCAACCATCTTGGGGTTTTAAATTGAGGAATACTTGAGGAATACTTGAGGAATACTTGAGAAATACTTAAGGAATACTTTAGGAATACTTTAGGAATACTTTAGGAATACTTAAGGAATACTTTAGGATATTTAAGGAATGCTTGAGGTATATTTGAGGAATACTTTAGGAATACTCGAGGAATACTTGAGGAATAAGATCGTAATTGCAAATTTCTCCTAGCAGTGTAAAACTAGTAATAAAATCGTATTTCACACAATTTAAAAAACGTCGGAAAGGAACTTATCTCAAACTTAAATATTCTAATTTATGATATCTTTTCATATCTTTACAATCTTTGCATAGACTTTTAATGTTTTTGAATATCAAAGGTATATACTGGAAGAAAGAGGAATTTAGTATAGTTTCTTTAAAGTAAATTATAAAAGATGTTGTTTTAGAGAATTTTTCTAATATTTTAAAACACTCTTGATTGAATATTTGGTGCAGTATTGGAATAAATTAACAAGTGTCTATAATAAAGAAATAATGAGAACCTTCGAAACATATTTTTTGGGGATTTTTAACCCTGAAAAGATATATATATCTTTATATTCCATCATCTTAAATCTTCTTCAATTTCAAAAAAAAAATAATTAAAGATTAAAAGAAATCTTCTGTTTGTATTCAAAACATCGAAACCGACGAAAAATAATAAAAATCTGATAACATTTGCTTCACTATTTTTAAAAATCATCGAACTTTTAAAAAGAAATTTAAAATAGGAACATTTTGTTATGAAATAGGAACATTTTGTTAGAAAATAGGAACAAAATAAGGATATGATTCTTCCCCTTGTGTTCTGTTACAACGTTTTACAAAATATTCATATTATGTTAATTATACCAAACATTAGCATTTACAAAGAGAAAAAATATTCTGAATTAAAATCATAATTTGATATTTATTGGAAACCAAAATATGTTCTACTTACGTTATGCCTCCATGTAAGATTATACGTTGGTGGGTTTGAGTCTACAGAACATGTAAAATACACATCCTCGCCTGCCTTTTATTTAATAAATTCGATAATCAATTTTCATATGTCTTCTACTTCAGCCAGAGGATTAAATTCTTTATATTTTCTTGCTTGATAGATTGGCACTCGGTATGATTGATTTACTGGGCAGAACACCAGGTAATTTAACAGAACTTCTTTTTACCATTATCAATATTTAACAATAATTCCTCCCCTCCGAATTCCATTACTGTATTTGAAAACTATCGATATCAAATTGGAAATGAACAAACTACTTCGGCTAGAATTTTAGAATTTTGCAAAACTTTAATTCTTTCAAAGAAATGTCATCTTTAGTTATATAAATAAGATACTTTGAAAATTGGATATTTCAAACTATTTAGATGTGTATTCTGTATTCTGTATTTATAGGACTGTATTTAAAGGGACTGTATTAATAGGACTGTATTTTAAGGGACCCTTTCATTTCTAGATTGGCATTTCTGATTCACAATACTCTTTATAGCTTCAATATGAAGAAGAATAGTGATCAATTGTGACATCCTCCTATATTTTTGATTCACAATACCCTTTATAGCTTCAATATGAGGAAGAATAGTGATCAATTGTGTCAGCCTCCTATATTTCTGATTCACAATACCCTTTATAGCTTCAATATGAGGAAGAATAGTGATCAATTGTGACATCCTCCTATATTTTTATGACACCTTTATAGAGACACTGCACAATTGAAAAGTTCTATTGTATTTGTAAACAAGGAAGAATCATTAATCCTTGATAAGACAGACAAAAGTGTAGAGAGTATTGTTGCGAATCTAACACGACACATGTAAATAGAGAGCCACATGAAATAACATCTAAAATCCTTTAATTGTGTGAAGTTAAAACAAACCTATATTTCAAATTAGGACTTATAATAAATTAAGAATTTATAGATTTCCTGAATTTTCTCTGAGAGAAGACTGTGTCCAAGTTTAATACTAAGAATCGGTGAGTCTAAAGTACACAATTTATTTATATAAAGAAGTTGACTTTTACCGACAAACTATAATTTTCAAATGTCGTAGACCTTAGATATTTTAAACTATCAATTCTGTTGGTTCAAAGTTTGAAATATCGAATGTTTACATCATCAGGTTGTGAAGATAAAGGGATTAGAAAATTTGAATCATTCAACGATTGAGTTCAAATAGACAATTTAATTCAGTCCATTTCAAATATATCTCTTCAACCAAAAGAAATTTGTTGTTAATTCATCTCAAATTACGGATCATTCGAATTTGTTATTTGAAATACAAACATATCCATATTATTTTCCTTATAGGATCAAATCCAAACTATGTCGCTCTGAGCCGCCCAAAAAATGCTCTTATTAAAAAAAGACAAATTTAAAGTAAATGCAATGCTCCGGTCTTACGAAAAAGAACATATTTACAATGTTTAAATTATAAAAAGGACCTTTATTTTAAAATATTATTCCCAACATATTGTCTAAAAAGTTCTATTCCATTTTATTACGAATTAAGATTTAAGAGTACTCATTTTCAAGGCACACGTATAAATGCCTTTCTGAAAAAAAAATCGTTTTTGAGCGACATGATTTAATCAAAGTTCTTTAAGATTATCTACTCAAAAATGTTTTTACGAGAATGATAACGATGTATTAAACTTAGCTTCATTAGGAAAAAGCTGTGTTTAATGAGTATTAAATAATTAGAAGACCCTCCATTTATAGATTGGCATGTCAGATTCACAACGGCAGCGTTGAAAGCTTTGGCTCATCAATTTTTTTCTTAAATTTTCATTTGGGATTTTTCTTTAAAAATGACTTGTGCAAAATAAACACTTTTCAAGTTAGAAAAAGAACGTTGTCTTCCACATTATTTATTAGAATAAGGTTTAATGGTACCGTTGTGAATCAGGAATGACCCTCTTTAAATGAAGAGTGGCCTAAAATACCAAGGACAGTCCCTTGAAGTATTTAATCTTACATCTGACTGTGAGCATAATCTTGTGTTGTCTCGGTTGTCCGGGATAAAGTTGGTTTACCACAGAACAAGATATATTAGCTTTATTATCTCCAGGTCGGGGGGTGTACCTTAACAACAAGATATAATAGCTTTATTATCTCCAGGTCGGGGGGTGTACCTTAACAACAAGATATATTAGCTTTATTATCTCCAGGTCGGGGGTGTACCTTAACAACAAATGACAACACACAAATTTTATATACCTGACATTTTGTTTTGTACTTTCTAACGAAATGGATATTATTTCGATTTTAAGAACAAAATGTTATGGTTTGTTACCAACACTAACAGTGTAGTTATATAAATAAATGTACTATCTAAATATATATATATTTTTAATGTATACTTAGAATTATCCAGGTTGGGAAGGAATTCTTCTGATTTCAAAGTGGGATAATCTGATTTAAAATCATTCAAATATTTAAATAAAAATATCAGTTAAAGTTGCCATTTACAGTTAAAAATATAATCTTTATATGTAGATGACACTAAAAAACATAAAAACGAAATCAAAAAAAAAATTCTATTTTTATGCGGTATGGTACCCATAAAAGCTTTGTCTAATCAAGCTTAAATTTTATATCCTTTTTATGCGGTATGGTACCCATAAAAGCTTTGTCTAATCAAGCTTAAATTTTATATCATTTTTTGTTTGTTTTTTATTTGCGTCTCTGCAAAAGTGACTTGGTAATTTCTTGCTATAGTTAAACAATGGAAATATTATTAGAATAAACAATTGTCAATCCAGAAAAACGACGTTATCTCCAACATTATCAGATTAATGTTTTGAGGGTACCATAGTGATTCGGAAGCAACCTAATAGTGTAAACCTTCGATATTTAACTTAGAGTATTTGATCTAACACTAAAAATATTCATAGTTTAAAATATATAAGGTCTACGACATTGGGTGGCAAAGATTAAAAAATCAGAGTTTGTGGCAAAAACTTATTTCCTTTTGCAAAAAAATTGTCGACGTAGGTGAGAGGAAGAGGCCGGTTGGTGTTTTAAAAATCTTGAAAAAATCAATTTTTTTCAAATTTTGAGGTATCTCTAAAAGTCCTTTGAAAAACACTTTAAAAAATAAAGTAAAAAGATGTCTCACGTTTAAATTTTGACAGTAAAAATTTTCGAAGTACCTTTGAATTTTCTTTTTTTTTACTGTTAACATCAAAGTTGGATTGGTGACATATATCTAAGAACCACACTCCCTTGTCTTCATTTTAGGGGGGAAAAATGGGACCACCTTTTTGTCCAAAATAAGCCAAACCGGTATAGGGTTAACAGTTTCGTATTTTTAACTTAAATTTGATATTGAGTTTGGATTTATAAAATGATACTTTTCACCGATGGAAAGTAGGAAATCTATTTTCTATATCTTTTTAAAAGTTTACGAAGAGATTTAGCTCCAATTTATAAAACACTTGATAACCTTGTAAACTGTGAAGTAAAACTGAACTCAATACACTTTAAGCGTAGTTTTACATTTTCACCTTAAATGTTAAACTTTTACTTTATTAGAAAATCGGTTTTCTTTAACTAAACTGCGAACATTATAATGTGTACTTTTGAAGGTAAATTTTTAATTTTATTGAAATGAAAGATAACCTTGTTTTGATACCCTTTAAACATTCATTTATGTCACACTTCAGTAGACAGAATAAAAAGGTAAAAATTTGTTTGCGACTTTACTGGCACGGCTTTGTGAACTTGTATCTCCTCTAATTTTGATTTTCTTCAAACTTATGATAAAAAAGATTTACTTGGTCGCATGCAACGTGTACACGAGCAATCAGGAGACATCTGTATTTAGGGATATTTAAGGATCCTTTGAATAGGAAATGCAAAATATTTTAAAATAGACAATTTTCATAAACGTTATGTTTTATGTATAAAATTGGAGTATTTCTGTAAAAGTTGTAAAACTTAACCCCTGAATGCAACAAGTGGCCGTGAGATGTCAGTCAAAAAACATTACATGGAACCGTAGCATGGCGTGCTGGGACACTATAGGCCTGCTCAGCCTATCCAGGTAAAGTGTAAGAGCAGTCTGTGTAGTCTGTGGTCGCATGTTTAAAATGCAAAACATTCTTGTTCTTCATAATATTTCTTTAATGAGAGGTATTATGGTGGAAAATGTGTAAACCTTAATTTGGGAAAACCTAACGTACTACTAAACTTTTGGTGCACAGCAGTATTACAAAGTGGGGTTGAGCAGAGAGTAAGCATTCAATTCGTAAAGGAATTGAGTCTTTTGTGACAAACTCAAATTTTTTACTCGAAATGAAAAAATGAAATCTATAAAACTGTTCAAAGGCATTGAGTCTTTCTTTGCCACAAGCTCAAACTTACTAATCATTCTATCTTTGCATTATAATGGTGCAAACCTTTGATATTTCAAACTTAGATTATTTGATCAAACAAAATTCAGAGTTTGAAATCTCCAATGTCTTCGGCATTTGATTTCAAAGCTATTAAAAGAACCGTTCACTTACTTGGGTAATTTGAGGGTAAACTAAATAGCCTTTAAGCTATTTATTAGTCTTACTTTTCAAAGACAACTGTGGCCTGATTTATTATTCAGAATTCCAGCGAAAAGGTATGATACTTTTACAGAGACAATAAATAATGCTTTTTGTCATAGTCATGGATTAAACAAATTTCAAATATTAAATTAGATTGTGTTATATAATAGTAAATTGTGGATATCTTTAATTTTTTTTAAATTATTTTTAAATTATCTATTTTCTAAAAATATATTATTTTTAACATTTGACGGTTTAATACGTTTTCTCTACTTCCCCAGAAATCCCCTTGATTTATTGAAGAGTTAGAATTTAGGAACCTGTTTGTCTGAGAGAGAAAGTAGTCTTTGTAAACGTGTTAATTTTTTAAGTCATGTTTGAACACGGAAAACGGTAATTTCTTGCTAATTCTAAAATCAAAAGTTTTTACATTTTATTATATAATGGCTGACACATGATGTCATTAAAATATGATAATCTTAGATTTTTTGGGTTGTTGTTACAGAAAAAAACTTTAAATAGTGCCTATGCAAAGGTATCATACCTGGAATATAAACGATAAACCGTCTTTTTCTCCGGTCATAAATATCTTTGAAAAGTAATAGCAATGAATAGCTAATAGGCTAATTATTTTACCATGAAATTACCCAAATAAGTGAGCGGTCCCTTCAAAAGTTTAAAGTTTACCATTTTAAATCGCAAACGTCCCTCATAAAATTATGTCCTTTAAAAATGAGACTTTTTTTACTTGATTTTAAAATAATCATCGTAACAAAGAAACTGAGTCTTTGACACAAAATCAAATATTTAGTTAGTTATATCTTTGCAACTAGATAATAAAAACCCTTGATATTTCAAACTTGAACTATTTGATCTAACAGAATTCATAGTTTGAAAAATCTAAGATCACATTAGGTGCAAAAATAAAAAAGATTAGAAAATCAGAGTTTGTGTCATTGGCTTCACTGATTTCTTGTATCAAAATTCTCGTTATTTTGAAAGACTTTTGGCAAATTACAGATAGTACGAACTATACTGTAATTAGACATAATTCGGATTTTTGTTAACAAAGATTGCTTTATCAAACTTTGCAATAATTTTTATTCTCAGTGGAAATACAAGGGATAAACGAACCAAGCATTGATAATTGGTTTTTGGTCATTTAAATCTATTATTTTGTGTACCCTGTATAAACTATGACCAAATACTGGCCTTGGCGTAATCGGTTGATCTTAATATCCACTTTTAAGTTTAATTTGAGAATCATCGAATAAAGATTAAATTAATCTGCAGATTAACTAAAGAATGAGATCGGGCATTGATCTCGATATGCACAATACAAGGTTTCCAGCTCATGACTAGCTTGAAATCTATACTTTCCGTTTCAAAGTAAACCAAATAAATTTAGAATTTTTTTAACAAAACTAAGAACATTCCCGTGGTTCTACCATACTCCTCACAAAAAAAGGCACCTCGGTCAAAGGGATCATGAGTTATGATTCGACATACAAGTAAACAGACATATATAGATTATATATAAATAAAGATATATATACCTGAGCTGGGAAAACCAAGAAAACAGTTTATTATCCTTTGACTGACTATGGTTGATTAATTCTCTTTTTCCAATAAACCACCTTTAATTTAATTCAAATTATATTAAAATCCTTTTTGTGTAAAAAAAAAAGTTAATTTTATTAATTTCTTTTCAACTTTATATCAAATCTTTTCAAATTTTACACAAAACTATTCTTGTTAATTTATATTTAATTACATAGCAAATTAAAGCTAAATTAAGTCTTTAACACAAACTCAAATTTTCTATATTTTCGTAACCTGATGGTGTAGACCTTTGGTATTTTAAACTTAGATTATTTGATCTAACAGAATTCACAGTTTGAAAAATGTAAGGTCTACAACATCTGGATTAAACAGTCAGAGTTTGTGGCAAAGACCCAATTCCTTTGCTGAAAAAAAAAATGTGATAAAGTCACACGATAGTATAATGTTATTATTTGCTAATCTTTATATGTTTTATATTTCAAGCAATTAAATCTTTTGAATACAATAAGCAAAGTTTAAAATATGTCAAAGGTTGAAATCATCATGCAGTATGAAAAGAAAGACTAGAATGTGCAGCATGTTTTTTTTGCAAAACATTGTGAAATTATATTTTATTTGAACTTTTTGTTTGATTTTAAATATAATGCATTGTTCCTAAATGTAGTTGGACCACTGGAGTTAACCGCTCTACATGTGAAATTATATTCCTCGCCTAACATCATTTTTAGAATTATTGATAAGGTGCTCTGAGACACTATTTCGGGTAAATATTTGGCTTTTAAAGGGACAGTAAGCGTAATTTCAAGTGACCCTCTATGAAAAATGGCAGTGACCAAATCACAAAAATACCCTTACAAACTTTTTCTGATCATGTATGAATTATATATCAATTCTTTAATTCTTAAAACTGATTATTTATTATTATTTTTTTTCTTGAAAGGTGACTTGCGCATTTCTACGGCAGGAAAAAATATTGTAAATTTCAGAAATAAACACTTTAATCTAAAAAACGCCAATACCTTCCACATCATTGATCAGATAAAGGTTTCAAGGGTACCATTGTAAATCGGGCTTTGGCATCTTTGTATGGTGTGTTACTTAAAAATTGCGTTTTTCATATTTTTATATTTTTATAATCTCGAAATACTTTATTTTTTAAACCGTTATTAATGCGAACTTAAGTTTCTGATCTTAACAAATTAGGTTTCAAATGAAAAAGAATTTAGGTCCAATTACCATGTTATTTGCGCCAAAATTGTAATAGTAGTACAAACACTTGTATTCCTTTATTCCTTTTTTTAGAATTTTTTGTTTAAGTGAACACCATTTACAATATTTATACATTACACACTTTTGACTGATGTGTTTTGCATCACTGAGAGTAATACATTGCCGCTATCAAAAGCAAATACATTGTTGTTCCATATAGACCTGTCAATTCTGAACAAAACCCTGTACGATATTGGCTTTTTATTATCAACTGGACAACCGACTTTCTTCTTGTTTTAAAAGTTTTCAATTCTATAAAGCATTTCATAATCAATATACAGAGGTAATAAATTGACAGTTTTAACTTTCTGGTTTTTTATTCAATTTTAAGAGAATTGTTATTCTGCATTTTTACTCTGAAATTCACGATCCTTGCATGCAGACATAAAGGTTTAATTCTTATTTTATATCTTACTAGCTGAAGGGCCCGGCGTTGCCCGTGGAAAAAAAGTGAGAAAAAAAACATTTGAAAAAAAAAATTTTAATTAAAAAAAAAAGTACAAACTTTTTTTGCCTTAAACACCTCCCAGACACCTATGAGTGTCCACAAGAAAAAATCAGTCCATTCGGTCAACCTGTTTGGCCGGCTACCAGTGACATATATACGAATGTATTGTTTCAATATTATTAATTATTATAATGGATATTTTCGAGGATTTTTATAATCATTTTTCCCACATTTTTAAAATACAATATAGAATGAATCATTCGATCTAATTTATAATTGCTAAATTTGAAATATATATATATTCAAAAATATTTAAAAAATATTAAAAAATAAAAGGTTTTTCCATATCTTTGAGTCTTTGCCACAACCCTAAATTTTCTATTCGCTTTATCTTTGCAACCTGACGGTGTAAACCGGTATTGTTTAAAACTTATACTATTTGATCTAATAGAATTTATAGTTGGAAATATCTTCCACATTGTGTTGCAGAGATTTAGTTGGGGATTAGGAAATTAGATTTTGTAGCAAAGACTTATTATTTTAAGTATCAACCATCTTATGATTTTATTTAGGAATATATTTTTTCTTCTGGGATTTTTATTTAGATAATTGTTTGTTTTTGACTATTTTATCTTTCGCAATATTCAAATTTAAACCTAAAACAAACAAAGAAGAAGTAAAAATCTCTAATTTTTTTTATGTTTTTCAAAGAAATTGAGTCTTTGCCACCCACTCAAATTTTGTAATCTCTATATCTTTGCAACCTAATGGTGTAAACCTTAGAAATTTCTTAGATTCTTAAATCTAACAGAATTCATAGTTTGAAATATCTAAGGTCTACGACATCGGGTGGCAAAGATATAAGGATTTGAAAATCAGAGTTTGTGAAAAAGACTCAACTCTATAAATTTGTTAAAGAACCGAAATTTATATCTTACTTTTGAATTTTCTGAATAGAATTCTAAAAAATTGAATTAAAATCATAATTTAATTTTAAGAATACTTTTGTAGATATAGATAGATGTCAAACTTTACTTGAGTAGCAATTTCCATTTTCAAAATTCCAGTTTTAAAACATACAATTGAAATTGTATCTGAGCATTTTCTATCCCCTAGAGAAATAACAAGATATATATATCATTTCAACTTTTATCTAACTCATTCCACCAAATAATGAACTTTCAATGAACGAAATTAATTTTTGATGATACAAATTACAAATGTTAAAGATCTTGAAATTCATTGCTTCAATGTCGTTATTTCGTGATTCAGTCTGGAATATTTTTTAACAAAAAAAACTGTTTAAGCTCGCAGATAAATTTATTTTTGCATTCCAAAAATGGTTTTATTTTAAATTCAATTTTTTTAATACAGGGGACACTAGTTCCAACACCATTTCTATTAGAACTGGGCACAAATTTAAAGATTGGGTTTTTAGGATCCCGAGAGTAAAAGACAAAAGTCCATAATAAAAACTATAACCAACATTTTATTAAGCATCACGAGGACAACAATTCCCAATATTAAAATATTTTCTGAAATAAAAATTATAAAAGGAGTTCTTTTATATTAAACCCCTTGAGCGTTTTTAAGATAATGTCAGGTTATGGCCATTCTCGACAATATCCTAAATTGGGATCCTTGTCGCGTCCTGCTTTCCCGTTTTTGGGAATTCAATCCGCAATATTTTGTTTCTCAAAGTTGTAATGATTTATATTTATAATAGAACAGCATGTTTTTATTTTCTATTTTTTTTCTATTTTACTTATCAGAAAATCTTGTTTTGTTACTTAAATGCTTAGGAACAGACATTGATATGAATTCGAGTAATTTTCTCAAACCTAGGATATGTTCCAAAACGGGACTGAGCTGAATGAGGTTAATTTTTCAAAATAGGGATATGTTCGAAAATGAAATCAAGAATAAAAAAAACTAATTCTTTACTCGGCTTCTGGATTTAAAGAAGTATGCTATTGAAAAAAATAGCGTAGCTACTGATGTCCCCTGTAATCAGGTCTGGAAAGAAATAAAGTACTTTCTAATGTACCCTGTAATAAGGTCTTGAAAAAATAACGTAGCTACTGATGTCCCCTGTAATCAGGTCTTGAAAGAAATAAAGTACTTACTAATGTACCCTGTAATAAGGTCTTGAAAAAATAACGTAGCTATTCATGTCCCCTGTAATAAGATCTTGAAAAAATAACGTAGCTACTAATGTCCTCTGTAATAAGGTCTTTAAAACTATATCGTAGCTACTAATGTCCTCTGTAATATTTGGTCTAAAAAGAAAGCCAAAAGCCTTGCAGAACATATTACATAGATACGTTCTGTTAGAAATTTTCAGGAATATGTCGACTTTGAGGTGTCTTAGTGCCTTGAACTTTTATTGGACCTCGCTAACTTAATTTTATACTTTTTGTCCTATAGACGTGTAAATTTAGAACTAGAAGTTATTGCTTTAGTTTTGAAGAAGTAATTGGCAAAATTCTCATAAATTTTTTTATTAGGAGCTTGTAACCTTTGGGTCGCATGCTTAGTTTAGAGCTAGGGTGTTTATGCTGATGTTTATGGTTTTCCAATGATGCGTTATAATACTCTTAAACTTTCTTTCATCGACTGTACATGAATACCTAGGTTCTTTCATCGACTGTACATGAATACTAGGTTCTGGTCTCAAGTTAACATATTCTAATCTACATATCGTTGCAACCAGATACTAATGTAAACCTTATGTATAATTAGCGTAATATATTTGATGTAACATATTTAAAGTTTGAAATATCTGTGGACATCGGGTTGCAAAGATACTGGGATTACAAATCACAATTTATGACACCGAGTCAATGCCTTAGCATTATCAATCTTAAAGTAAGAGACCGGTTAGGAAACATATTTGAGCTGAAAGTGCAGTTTTCTAGAGATAACTTTAAGATTCATTATATACCAATGAGACATTTTTACAGTGTACAATTTTAAATAAGAGCGTAAAGTCGTTTCTAATATTTCACCAGTTGTTTCAGCCACCAGAAGAAACGTTTTTTGCAATTATTTAATAACTCGGACAAAACATGTAAAAAAAAACATTTCTATAAACTAATTTGCTGTTTAGGAACATATTTCTTAAAAGAAATTATGGGTGAAAAGTATTTGAGCTAGAAAGCCCACATTTTCTGACTTTCTAACCAACACATGCCCATCACTTAAGGCTAAAAGCTGGGCTTTTATACCTGCTGCCTGAGTCCCCAGACATACTGCCTAGATACTTTATTTCACATTCACCCGACTGAATCTATAATTAGACCTACTTCCACTCATTAAATTTCAATATTTTATAGCTCTTTAGAAGCCTATAACAAAAGCAACCAGATTGCACAATTTTTGCAAACAAATTTTCCACAGACACTTTAAAGGGAATTTGCACATTTTCAGTTTTTTCTTGAAAACACATTCAGGTTTTAAAAATCCTAAAAATGTTTTTGCAGATTTAAATTCACTGGGTTAAGGGCTTTTTTAAAACATGTACTGTTTTTTTTTGCACAAATTTTGCTTAATTACTAGATTTCGCAATAAATGTTTGATTTTTTGCAAATTTGCCAAATTTTTTTGCAGATTACTGAAGTAGAGCCTAAGGGCTTTCGAAAAACGTATCAAATAAAAAAAAATAGAGGGGGGGTAATTTCCCCCCCCCCCAGGGAATCAGTCATTAAACCAGACGTAAATAGGGTTCATAACTTCATTCCTTTGTTCAACTTGTTTGTATACATGCAACCAGTTTGTAGAATAGGAATCAACTTGATTGTATACATGCAACCAGTTTGTAGAATAGGAATCAACTTGATTGTATACATGCAACCAGTTTGTAGAATAGGAATACATGCAACCAGTTTGTAGAATAGGAATCAACTTGATTGTATACATGCAACCAGTTTGTAGAAATGGAATTGTTACATATTTTGTCCATGTTAAGAACTGTAAAAAAAAACGTTACTTCTGCAGGCTTAACGCCTGATATGTTCGTATAAAAAAATTGCACACCGTAGAAATGTCTCATTGGTATCAAATGAATCTTAAAGTTGTTCTCAACAATATTGCACTTTTAGCTCAAATATGTTACATAGCCGGTCTCTCCCTTTTAGCTTTGTTCAATTTATTTTTTGTTTTCGACATTTAATGTAGAAAAAGTGTGTTTTTTCAACAAAAAATCTCTTCAATTTAAAAAATCGTCTAAAATACACTTTAAATGATGTTTGTATGATGACTGTAGATATGTTCAATATTTATGAATTTTCTTTTTGTAAGAGACTTTTTAACCCCGGAAAATTAGTAAACTGTTAAAAACTAAAGATTTTTATTAATAATTTTCAAATCTTTTAATAAACTTTGTTTTAATACCACAGCAGAAAGTTAAGAACAAAGTTTTAGAACTAAAAATTATGAAATATTGAAAAAATATAAAATTTTATCATTTTAAATTGCTTTTATGTAGCAGGGACAATGAGAAAATGTCCAGCTATTTCCCAGAAAAGGTTTAAGTATTTTGTTTTTAATCACACTGGCAATGCAAACTGTAAGTAAAATGTATCTAAATATAAAATGATGTTGCCTGCTGTAAGTTTATCACTGTAAGTAAAAGGTATTTAAATATAAAATGATGTTGCCAGCTGTCATTTTATCACTGTAAGTAAAAGGTATTTAAATATAAAATGATGTTGCCTGCTGTCATTTTATCACTGTAAGTAAATATATCTAAATATAAAATGATGTTGCCTGCTGTCATTTTATCACTGTAAGTAAAAGATATTTAAATATAAAATGATGTTGCCAGCTGTCATTTTATCACTGTTAGTAAAAGGTATTTAAATATAAAATGATGTTGCCTGCTGTAAGTTTATCACTGTTTTCCTCAATCCAAACTCTATCTGGAGGATCTGTAATCAATATTATATTAATATCAAACATTAAATGGATCCACTGGTAAAGTCATTTTAAATGACTCTCCATTTGCATGGCATGTCCGATTTACCATGGTGCCATTTAAACCTTTGTTTGCTTAAGGCTATAATTATTTTCATAGCTGGAAATAAACTGAGTCTTTGACACAAACTCAAATTTTTGTATCCATATACGTTTGCATCCTAATTAAAAACCTTTGATATTTCAGACTATTTGAATTATCAAAATTCATAGTTTCAAATATCTTAGGTCTATGATATCAGGTTGCAAAGATATAGAGATTAGAAAATCTTACATCCTTCAGCGCCTAAAAACCGACATTGTTGTCGAGTGTACTCTGTAACCTCGAGTTCTAGAGTAACCTCAAGTCATCGAGTATACATGGTAACCTAGAGTCTTCGAGTATACATTGTAACCTAGAGTCCTCGAGTGTTCACTGCAACCTCAAGTCATCGAGTATACATTGTAACCTAGAGTCCTCGAGTGTTCACTGTAACCTCAAGTCTTCGAGTATACAATGTAACCTCGAGTTCTCGAGTGTACACTGTAACCTTGAGTCCTCGAGTACTGTAACCTCGGGTCCTAGATTATACACTGTAACCTCGAGTTCTTGAGTTTACACTGTAAGCTTGATGGGTCCTTGAGTATACACTGTAACCTCGAGTTCTTGAGTGTACACTGTAAACTTGATGGGTCCTTGAGTATAAACTGTAACCTCGAGAACCCAAGTTTACTCTGTAACCTCGATGACTCGAGCATACACTGTAACCTCAAGTCCTCGAGTATACACTGTAACCTCAAGTCCTCGAGTATACACTTTAACATCAAGTCCTCGAGTATATAGTGTAACGTCGAGTCCTCGAGTATACACTGTAACCTCAAGTCCTCGAGTATACACTGTAACCTCAAGTCCTCTAGTATATACTGTAACCTCGAGTACTCGAGTATACACTGTAACATCGAGTCCTAAAGTTTACACTGTAACATCAAGTCATCGAGTATACACTGTAACCTCAAGTCATCGAGTATATACTGTAACATCGAGTCATCGAGTATACACTGTAACCTCAAGTTCTCGAGTATACACTGTAACCTCGAGTCCTCGAGTATAAACTGTAACCTCAAGTCATCGATTATTCACTGTAACTTCAAGTCATCGAGTATAAACTGTAACCTCAAGTCATCGAGTATATACTGTAACATCGAGTCATCGAGTATACACTGTAACCTCAAGTCCTCGAGTATACACTGTAACCTCAAGTCCTCGAGTATATACTGTAACCTCAAGTCCTCGAGTATATACTGTAACCTCGAGTCCTCGAGTATATACTGTAACCTCGAGTCCTCGAGGATACACTGTAACCTCAAGTCCTCGAGTATATACTGTAACCTCGAGTCCTCGAGTATACAGTCATCGATGAGAAGAATAATATTTATTCGAACATGCGTCAATCTATAAATGAAAAATTAATCCTTTTTTTCGTTAGAATATATATTTATAACTTGTGAAGTGACAAGCCTGGTCCGTGACATTTCGAAAATCATACAATACAAAATTGGTTGATAATAAAATGTATGCATTTCTAACAACAAGTTTCTTAAAACTGTAAATTTGTAAGTTTTTAGAAAGGGTGTTCAAAAAGAAATAGATATTGGATATCTAAACATATGCAAAGGTTTAATTTTTGTTTCCGTTCCACTGTTGACTTTTTATATCTGTACCATCGGAGATATTTTAATTAATATATCTCCGATGGTCTCCGAGATATATTAGTATAGTAATTAAGATTTTACAGAAAATTATAAAGCTGTGCAGATTAATAATAAGCTCATACAACTTAAATTAAAGGAAACGAGATCTGGAAAACAATAAAAGAATTAACCTACAAATAAAACGGGAGAGGGTTGCTTAAACTCCGCACTACAAAAGCCCATTTTATTACTTAAAGGGACTGTAAGCGTAATTTCCAGTCACCCTCATGCAGAAATGGCAATTCCCGAATCACAATGGTGCCCTTGAAACTTTAATCTGATTAAGAGTGCGGAAGATACCAGACCGGTGCTTTTCTGACTAAAAAAGTGTTTATTTCTGAAAGTTTCTCCATTGCTTCTTTTAAGCAAGAAATTAAAAATAAACATTTAAAAGAAGAAACAAAACGTTAAAAACTAAATTATACTTTATCAGATAAAGGTTTCAAGGGTACCGTTGTGAAATCGTATGATTTTAACACAGTTTTATATCAATTTCTCGAGATAGTAACATCAGATAAAACTTTCATGGGTCGCGATCAAGAGCTAAAGTGATTAGCTTTCAGCCTATACCCCCTTTCATTTTTCCTTTACTGTCCCTTTAAAAGGACTGTAAGCGTAATTTCAAGTCACCCTCATGCAGAAATGGCGATTCCCGAATCACAATGGTACCTTTGAAACTTTAATCTCATTAAAAGTGCGGAAGATACCAGACCGGTGCTTTTCTGACTCAAAAAGTGTTTATTTCTGTAAGCTTCTCCATTGCTTCTTTTAAACAAGAAATTGAAAATAAACATTTAAAAGAAATAAAACGTTAAAAACTAAATTATACTTTATCAGATAAAGGTTTCAAGGGTACCGTTGTAAATCGGGTATTGCCATCTTTGCATGGAGAGTCACTTATAATTACTCTTACAGTCCCTGTAAAAATTCCAAAATAATGTGTATATCCCCTTGAATCCAACAAAATTGTACATTTTTAGGTAGGTGGGGAGGGGGGAGAGCGGGGGTGGTGTCACTTCTTGCAATTCCGTCCTAGATTACAGTATGGAATGTGAATTTGTACAAAGTATAAACGGACCAAATGTAAATTGACCGACTGTATATCCAGTATCACTCCATAAAATAACACAGAAATAAAAAAATGTTCAATTCAGGCGTTTTTATAATAGGATGTTTCAACATAACTTTTTGTTGAAGTATACTAAGATACAGATAAGGTGATTAAAAGATTAACTTTTGACAGATCATAAACAGGTCTTACATACAGGGTTACCCACAAAAAATGAGACCGTAAAGACGACCCAAAAATCTAAAAATATTACGCTTTGAAGCTTGCTTTTTGGTGTTTGTACTCAGTTGAGTATTTTGATGGTTTACTAAATGATTCAGCATAGATCTAAGCAGGTTTTTGGCCTACAATTTACCCTGGATGGAAGGAAATGAACTAAACAAGTTTCGTATATTTGTCTCATCCTTGTTGGGTAGCCCTGTATGTCACATCACATCATCACATGCTGTTGGATTTAATGATTAAATTCATACTTACAAGCGATTATTAACTTGAGTTTTCGGTAGGCAAAATTGCTTCCATTGGAATTTAAAGCCCTAAAAAATCAATTGATTAGTTTTCAGTTAACTTCAGAATAGCAGATCCTATAAAGCAATTGATTAGTTTTCAGTTAACTAGATATAGACAGTTCCTAAAAAAGCAATTGATTAGTTTTCAGTTAACTTGAGAATAGCAGATCCTAAAATAGCAATTGATTAGTTTTCAGTTAACTTGAGATTGACAGATTCTAAAATAGCAATTGAATAGTTTTCAGTTAACTTGAGAATAGCAGATCCTAAAAAAGCAATTGATTAGTTTTCAGTTAACTTGAGAATAGCAGATCCTAAAAAGGTTTAAAGGGTACCGTTGTAAATTGAACACTTCCATCTTTGCATCGAAATAGCACTTGAAATTACGCTTACACCCCTTGTAAAGTTTCTTTTACTATTTGCATTCATGACGTAACTGAGTCATCAATTTGCAAGACCCTGGGTCGACTTTAAATTGCCTTGACCTTATCCCTGAATATATTACCTGCAGGAAATATGAGCTCCTTGATCGTCCTGTTCAATATTTTCAAGATGAACAGTATTAACTGATTGTCCATTGATAATCTCTGATTTATCATCCAAGAGCTAAAACAAAATATTTGATTTATAGTTTTATAGCAGTATAGCGCCCATTTTCTAAGATGTTCTTTTTGTTCATATTGTAAAACAATAACAACAACAAAAATCGTGGGTTTTATAAAAAAAAATCGTGGATTTTCAAAATTTCACGAAAATCGAATTTTGTTGGAGGCTAAATTTGAAATTTTAATCATCGATAAACCTTTTCTGGGGTCATGTAAGGTGCCACACAAAATTTGGTTCAGCCTTTTTTACGTTTAGTGGATACAAACAGACAAACAAACAGAAAGACAACTTATCTACATATATAAAGATGCGTTGGTAATTAGATGGAAGCAATGTTAAGGTTTATTTTGTACATGACAGATGCAAGACACGGGAAAATACGTTTTAACATGAGGGCGTTCAAGAAAATTTCATTTACCTATATATATATATATATATTGGGAACTAAGGACATTCAACTTTAATAGAGCGATAGATAAATTAAGCTTTGTTATACTTCTTTAAAGATCTGCACCCTTTTTACTTACTTTATTTCCTCTCCACCATTGAAGACTGGGTTCAGGTTTACCTAAATTATTCATATGATATTAGATGGTTTCTTGGCCATTTTTAATTCGAAATTATACGGGGAAAAATGCTATTGCGCGAAAAGAGATCTATATAAAAAAGCGAATATACAATTTACAATAATTTACATGTTTAATTGTACCGCACACACTTTTGCTCGTACCAGCCAGTCAAGAGAACCCAGTGTGTTTAAAGTAACAAATAAACACTCTTTCTAAACTCATGAAGGGTCGCTTAGAATTACTCCTACAGTCCCTTTAAAGACATTGTATATCCCTTAGAATAATTATATAAACGCTCGCTATAGTCTCCGCAATCTCTGGTGAAACTGTCCTTCCCTCTGCAGTAATAGTATATTTATCTTAACTTTAATTCTCTAAACATTAGCTCAGCTTAGTACTATTATTATTACGTTTTAAAGGATTCATTGTGGATCTGGAATCAACCCCCCCCCCCCCTTCATAATAATTTGTTTGTTATTTCACATTATAATGGTTAGTTTAATATAACGAATATGTTATACATCACTTTGCAAAATTGACATTTTGACTTATTTTGAAACCAGCTGTTTGTAAGCGATCATATTTTCTTTTCCGAATCGTCAATATTTAATCAATGTTGCGGGTTTTGAATATTTGATATTGAAGAAAACAACACTGATAAATGGGAAAATTGGATTAACAGCTTTTTAAAGGGGCTGTTCACAGATTTCAAACACAAGCAAAAATTGTCACTGTCTTTTGCAAAAAAGAAAAGTGCGCTAAATAAATGATATGATAAGCTTAGTTATGATTCTAAACTTGAAAGTGAGATTAACATGATATATATTTTCAAATATGTGAGCAACCCATTTAAAGGTTTAATTATTATACATAAATATCTTTATAAATTTTAAGCTTTCGATTTCTAACTTTCGGAACTCGTCAGTCGTTTGTCCTAGCTCTCTATTCATTAATTTTAAATTAATAGTACAATTGAATGAAAAAATAAACCTTTAACTTATTTCCAATTAAGAAAAAAATCAAAAACCATTTCCTTTACAATAATAATAAGGATATTAGGACAGTCTAGAAACGTTTTTACGAAGAAAATGCCGATATTGCAAAAAAACGTACGCAAAAATGTCATCAGTAATAACGTCGTTGCAAAAATTTCCTTTTGGCATACTGACCTCCGTTTGAAACACATGTAGCAACTACCTTTCCGCCGATCAGGATAGGACCAAACTCATCGTCCAACCGCCGACCGTTCTCATCATAGATTAACGGGGGATGAGGAGGAACTAAAAATGACATTTTAAGAATAAGTAGACATAATTTTAGGTGACCCTGCATTCATAGTGTGCCATGTCCGATTCACAGCAGTAACCATTTAATCTGAGTAAAATATAGCAAGATGTCGCGCGTCGTTATTCTATATTTTAAAGGTTGGTCCCTGACAGTTTCCTTCTTTGAAATGATATCTGCTGCATAAATTAACAACACACTTTTAAGAGACCCCACAATTGAAAATAATCAATTTTTCATATTAAAAAATATATCCGGCCTCCAGACAAACGATTGAAGGTGCCTTTAAAATCAAGAAAATGTCAGAGGCCTGTGCGCGCATTAACATTTTTTTACATCCATTTATTAATTTTTAAAAATGTAAAAAAAACTTAAAATTCGCCATTAAAAAATAACGTTCTTGAGCTTACCTATTACTGTTAGATTAAGTAGATTATGTTTCGTTGGGGATCTTTTGAAATCAGCTCGACATTTATAAACTCCTAAACATAAAATTATAGAAGGTTTTAATTTCAAGGTTTTAAACAAGTGTGGCTTTCTGTTTACAGAAATAATATCTTGTGTTCGACAAATAGAAATTGACTATGGACAGTTCGAATTATAGAAAAAACAACCTTATTTTGTACACTTTTGATATTCTAAACTTAGGTAATTTAATCTAAAATAATTAACAGTTTGAAATATCCAAATTGAAAGACATTGAGTTGCAAAGATATAAGGATTAGAAAATCTAAGTTTGTGAAAAAGAATTAATTTCTTTTGTTAGAACACTGACTTCTTCTTATTGTTTTCATTTCATGCTGTTCACTTCTGTTTTCCTAGTCACAAGATTTTACAGGTCCAAATAAAATAATTCCTCCAAAAAATATTTTTTTAAATGTTCAAATCCACCAATGAAATTTTTAATTTGAAAAAAAGGTTATGTGAGGCAAATTCTACAGCTAAAATGGGGGGCACGAAACTCTCCGAATGTCTTTTACTTTGATCCTTACCCTGATCTCCTGGTATCAGGTTTGAAATGACCAAGGCCGATGGTTCAACCACAGCTCTCATTACTAAAAAAAACTTAACATCAAAAAAGAAAATAATCATATTTTACAGTGTGATCAATACAACTATACAGTGATAACCAGAAAACTGTAGAATAGGTAGACGACAATAAAGTAATACTGTAGTGCATTTGATGTTGTTACAAAGCAAATAGCTTTCATAGTAACTTATAAAATCACTTATCAAGTGAAATGGGCCTGTTTGCATTGCACAATTGCTTTGTCTTATGTTCATTGGACTATTTCAAGTAGAACTTGAGTCTAAAAGTCGTCTTCGTATCAAAAGTTTTCTGGTTTTCACTGTATGGAATAGGAAGACGACTGTTAGGAACAAGTTGTGATTCTAAATCATCAAATGAACCTGGAAAACATCAATTGTGCAGTCTTTATAGTACACAGTTCCATAAGTGTGATAGATTTGTTTCTATTATTAAAAATGTGGAAAAGTTGACAACGAATTTGACTACTGAAGAGTATGAATAACTTAATGTTAAATCAAATGTGAAATCAAAAGCTGAAATATACATTCATAAAATTCAAATCCTTGCAGTATATTGTTTTATCTATGATTATACTGTAAATTCTAATCCTTGCAGTATACTGTTTTATCTATGAGTATACTGTAAATTATAATCCTTGCAGTATACTATTTTATCTATGATATACAGTAAATTCTAATCCTTGCTGTATACTGTTTTATCTATGAGTATACTGTAAATTCTAATCCTTGCAGTATACTGTTTTATCTATGAGTATACTGTAAATTCTAATCCTTGCAGTATACTGTTTTATCTAAGAGTTGACAGTAAATTCCCGTTTGAAGTACCGGACTCACCATAAATAAGCTAGGGCAAGCTGTACAGTACAGGTTTGAAGTACCGGACAGACTATAAAGAAGCTAGGGCAATCTGCACAGTACAGGTTTGAAGAACCGGACTGACTTTAGGGAAGCTAGGACAAGTTGTACAGTACAGGTTTGAAGTACCGGACTGACTATAAAGAAGCTAGGGCAAGTTGTACAGTACAGGTTTACCGGACTGACTATAAAGAAGCTAGGGCAATCTGTACAGTACAGGTTTGAAGTACCGGACTGACTTTAGGGAAGCTAGGACAAGTTGTACAGTGCAGGTTTGAAGTACCAGACTGACTTTAAAGAAGCTAAGGCAAGTTGTTCAGTACAAATACAGACCAAAAACGACTAAAAAGGGACAGTGCAACAAGTTAATCATCTATTTCTTGGTAAATTATTCTGATATATAAGAAAAAATACTGTGCATCTTTTATAGTTTTTAATCCCGATTTTCATCATAAAACGATGTAACCTGAACTTTTTCAACTTTGTTCTTGTGAACAGGGCGTCACAATATTCATGGGAAGGTAGAGACGAATGAAAGAACGTCTTTGATTTCTAATCTTTTCTAAGGTCATTTAAAGACAAAAGATTTTTCTTTTTTAGTAAATTTCAAACCTGATTGGTTTTTAAGTATGACAGACCACATTTTTAAAAACTCTAATGTAAAGAATTCCCGGTGGTATTTGAATTGTTACTTGAATGCTATTACTTGTGTTTTAACAAAAAGTCGATACCTTAGTGTAATAAGACAATGCAAAAAAAGACTTTTAAATTCCATGTTTATTTTGACACTCTGTTCATTGAATTATAAATCTTTTATTTAAACCTGCTCTTGTTGGCTCGTCAAACAGCGTTCTATCTGAATAATGTCGAGCTGAACCAGGAGAACGATTTCTCACGTCAAATCTGAAATGTAAAAAAATTAATTAATTATAAAATATTAATTAATATTGTCGTCATATTTTTGCTAATTGAATAACTAGTAATCTAAAGAAATTTCTGTTTTTGAGGTTCAATGAAAAGTTTAAAGAGACTGTTACGTGATCTCAACTTTTCAACTTCCCGTCCATTTAAAGCGTTATAAATGGGGAGGGGGGGGAGGGGAGAAGACTTTCAGGAAAAATTTAGATTTACATAGATAAATGAATAAAAACTGTTTGCGGTCAAAACTAAATTGTTTACCGAAAAGGGGGCACAAAGCGCCCTGGATGCCTATTCATTTATACGACGAAAGTTCAGTTAAGACTGGACTGTAAATAGAATTTTATGAACGTAAAACTGAACGCTGCCAAACATTGCTGGACACGGAACATCGGAACGTCAATTAATATGAAATTTATTTTTAGATAAAAGCATTAAAATGTTCAATTATGAATTTAAGACACGTAGACCTTGTATAAACTTATAAACTTCTTGAACAATGTGTTTTTTATGAAGATCACAAAAATACTGTTTTCATAAGAAAAGCAGATAAAAAATAAGAACAACCTTGAATAATATATTTCTTGAACATGTAATCTTAATACAAAAATAGCAAAGCTCATTTTACAACAGTACCGGCTTCAATAGCTGAATCTTACCAAGTATGAATTAGATATCCATGTTTTAGTTTATTTAAACTACTTATTTTCATTTTTGGTTTCTCTGCAAAAGTGACTTAAGCATTTCTTAAAATAAAAAAAACATTGGAGAAATTCACAAACAAAAAACTTTATCAGATTAAGGTTTCAAGGTTACCATTGTATAAATCATGTATTGCCATCTTTGCAGGCGTCACTTAAATTTTCGCTTACAGTCCCTTAAAAAGGGTTGTCAAAGTTTTTTCAAGTGACCCTTTCTTCAAACAGGGTTAATTATTTTGTTATCCTTGATTTTGTCTAAAAATGGTTAATTTCCATTTGATTTTTTCTATAAAAGTTCTTCCGGTTTTATGCAGCAAAGACAAAGAAAGAAATTAAAACGTATATCACTTTTCAAACTGTTTATCGTTGTGCAGATATATACACAGGTTTATAGAGTACCAGTGTGAATTAGACATGGACATGACAATGTTTAATATGGAGGGTCATTTGAACTTATGTCTACAATTCCTTTATCAATCATTAATTGGAGAAATTCACAAACAAAAAACTTTATCAGATTAAGGTTTCAAGGTTACCATTGTAAATCATGTATTGCCATCTTTGCAGGGAGCGTCACTTAAATTTTCGCTTACAGTCCCTTTAAAGGGGTTGTCGAAGCTTCAAATGACCCTTTCTTTAAACAGGGTTAATTATGAAATAATAACACCGTAACCTGTAAACCTCTATTTGAACAAAAATGATTTGTTATCCTTTATTTTGTCTGAAAATGGGTAATTTTCATTTGATTTTTTCTACAAAAGTTCTTCCGGTTTTATGCAGCAAATACAAAGAAAGAAATTAAAACGTATATCACTTTTAAAACTGTTTATCGTTGTGCAGATATATACAGGTTTATAGAGTACCAGTGTGATTCAGACATGGACATGACAATGTTTTAAATGGAGGGTCATTTGAACTTACGTCTACAATTCCTTTATCAATCATTTACTGTAACAAAATTTCATCATTTTTCATTTTATTGTATTCGAAAAATACTGATTATAAGTAACCAGAAAATGAGATTTTAGATAAGAATGAAAACCGGGTTTTTGCAAAGATTTTGTCTTTATCCTTTAAGATGAATCTTGACAGAATATGCTGTGTACTCTACATGATATATAAATGTTAGAAAATATGCTCCAAAATATCCTTTCTTATTATCATATTATGCTTTTCAAATCCCTCAACAACATGTCAACCATCTAATAATCTTTATATATATATTTTTTAATCTTTCAATCTTCAATATATATATATATCTTTATATATCAACATTCAACATATATATTTCTTTCTTTTTCAACCTTCAACATATATATTTCTTTATCGTTCAACCGTCAACATATATATTTCTTTATCTATCAACCTTCAACATATAGATTTCTTTATCTATCAACCTTCAACATATATATTTCTTTATTTATCAACCGTCAACATATATATTTCTTTATCTTTCAACCTTCAATAAATATATTTTTTTATCTATCAACCTCCAACATATATATTTCTTTATCTATCAACCATCAACATATATATTTCTTTATCTATCAACCTTCAACAGATATATTTCTTTATCTAGCAACCTTTAACATATATATTTCTTTATCCAAAAACCTTCAACAGATATATTTCTTTATCTTTCAACTTTCAATATCTATATATCTTTATACATCAACCTTCAACATATATATTTCTTTATTTATCAACCTTCAACATTTATATTTCTTTATCTATCAACCTTCAATATATATATTTCTTTATCTATCAACCTTCAACAGATATATTTCTTTATCTTTCAACTTTCAATATATATATCTTTATATATCAACCGTCAACATATATATTTCTTTATCTATCAACCTTCAACACTTATATTTCTTTATCTATCAACCTTCAACAGATATATTTCTTTATCTATCAACCTTCAACATATATATTTCTTTATATATCAACATTCAACATATATATTTCTTTCTTTTTCAACCTTCAACAAATATAATATATATTTCTTTATCTATCAACCGTCAACATATATATTTCTTTATCTTTCAACCTTCAATAAATATATTNACAGATCAATGAGCCTACACTGTCACAGATCAATGAGCCTACACTGTCACATTCCAATGAGCCTAAAATTTGACAAAAACTCTTGTTTATATCGGCACGAGACAAACAATTCTAAAAAGAAGTCCAAAATTGAGAACCCCAACTTTTTCGCCCTTTATATGATCGTACTTTTGTAGAGCACTGCAATTTAAAAACATTTATGAATTTTTTCATTTACATGGCCGTCATTGATAATCGAGCATGTAAATCCTTAAAATTACGTCCACAGTCCCTTTAAAGGGCGATATTTTATCTTCATTTTGAATCTAGATTTAAACAAGAGATCCCTATCAAGTTATCGAAAGGCTTTAATGTATTAATATTAATTGAAATATCTTAATTTGATAAAATGTTAATTTGTTCAACTTGGTGAGTTTGATTAAAAGGATTATTGGATATTTGGAGCTTAACTTTTAGAATTGCCCTTTAACAATGTTGACAAAAATTCAAAATATTTAAGATTCAAGTTATGAGAAATTCCTGATATTATAGATTGGATTTTTTTTTCAAACGTGCACCAAAAAAATTTTTAGATGTTTAGTTTTTTCTGAAATAATTCAATTTTCATGTTTCTAGATTAGACCAACTGCAAATAAATCAAATTATTCTAAGATAAAAAGGTTTCCAATCTTTGATAGAAAGCTAGGTAAACCTCTCGAAATGCAATAATAAATATAGGGGTTCTGGCTTCTCAATTAATCTTTATAAACAAACCTCGTAGGTATTTATCTTAATATCCTAGAATCAAGATTACAGAGAATATCTACACTGTTAGAATATATATATATAGATTCACCAAATATTGTGTCTTGAACAGCTAATAAATTGTTAGACATTTTTAACATTATTTCATCAAATTCTGACAAATCGTTCGTAGTAATTTCTAAACGTTTTTGACATTATGTAGAGCTAAATGATTGGTTTTGACAGTGCTGTGTAGCACAAGGTTTTGACAATGTTGTGTAGAACAAGGTTTTGACAGTGTTGTGTAGAACAAGGTTTTGACAGTGTTGTGTAGAATAAGGTTTTGACAGTGTTGTGTAGAATAAGGTTTTGACAGTGTTGTGTAGAACAAGGTTTTGACAATGTTGTGAAGAATAAGGTTTTGACAGTGTTGGGTAGAACAAGGTTTTGACAGTGTTGTGTAGAATAAGGTTTTAACAGTGTTGTGTAGAATAAGGTTTTAAAAAGGTTTCCAATCTTTGATAGAAAGCTAGGTAAACCTCTCGAAATGCAATAATAAATATAGGGGTTCTGGCTTCTCAATTAATCTTTATAAACAAACCTCGTAGATATTTATCTTAATATCCTAGAATCAAGATTACAGGAAATATCTACACTGTTAGAATATATATAGATTCACCAAATATTGTGTTATGAACAGCTAATAAATTGTTAGACATTTTTAACATTATTTAATCAAATTCTGACAAATCGTTCATAGTAATTTCTAAACGTTTCTGACATTATGCAGAGCTAAATGTTTGGTTTTGACAGTGTTGTGTAGAACAAGGCTTTGACAGTGTTGTGTAGAATAAGGTTTTGACAGTGTTGTGTAGAACAAGGTTTTGACAGTGTTGTGTAGAACAAGGTTTTGACAGTGTTGTGTAAAATAAGGTTTTAACAGTGTTGTGTAGAACAAGGCTTTGACAGTGTTGTGTAGAATAAGGTTTTGACAGTGTTGTGTAGAATAAGGTTTTGACAGTGTTGTGTAGAACAAGGTTTTGACAGTGTTGTGTAGAATAAGGTTTTGACAGTGTTTTGTAGAACAAGGTTTTTACAGTGTTGTGTAGAACAATCCGGGGTAAGTTGTTGGCCAAAAACGGTCACTCAATCAAACAGTATAATCACCGGCCCTACCAAGCTAGATATACTGAATGTAAACAGAACAAGAAGTTTTCATTGTTATCCATATCAAAACCCTATCCATCTATCTCTGTTTGTATCCATCAATAAAGATGATGCTTCTCTGGCTTATGTCAACAGTGAATAGACAGATTGAGACCAATGTTATGAATATGTATTAATATCTTGCCAAACTTGGGTATAACAAGTTACAAGTTAACAACTCACGTCAAACTAAAGTATATTGCACGCAAGATTGAAATCTTATATGTTTTCAACCATAACTTCTTTAACTGAAGAATCGTTGTAAAGAAAAAAATTGTTTTGAATTTCTAATAAATTTGTTATTTCATACTTGTGTGCATAAAATCAAAACTAGAGGAGCTGCGAGGTCACAAAGTTGCACCAGTGATGTCTCATAATTTGTTAATATATCCTCATATCTAGTTTTCAGTGAACAACTAAGAATTGGGAAAGTTTCAATACCGTACGGAAGAATCTTTAATCCTATCACAATTGAAAATCCATCAATTAAAGATTTACTTTTCAGATATATTAAGTACAGGGTTACCAACAAAGGATGAGACAGTAAAGACGACCTAAAACAATAAAAAAAGAACAATCCCAATGTTAAATTAAGGCTCCTGCCTTGAATATAGTCTTTAAACAGGTTTTTACATGATTCAGCAAAGAAGAAAACAAGTTTAAAGTTGGAGGGAATCATGAATAGAAGGAAACAGACAGTATATGTATAGAAATATTATACATGAATCAGTCTTGTTATTTTATAAACGGGGGTCACTTGAAGTTACGTGTACTGTCCCTGTAACGGAAATTAATTGTGTTTTATAGAAAATTTTGGAAATTAACTTACGTGTAAACAGGGGATGCGAACCCGATCTTGTACCAAAGAACCAAAAGTAATTCATCTCCTGAAATTATATTTTTAGTTAGATCGACTTTCAAACAAAATATCAGTTTGTATCATATGTAGGAGGGAGGAGGGGGGGCGAGTATGGCGCCCCCTCCCCCCTACTGAAAAAGTTAACCTTACAGAGCAAAATGGCGTATAGTTAAAAATAAAATTAGACACACACACTGACACACCCTGCCTCTGCACTTAAATAAATGCCAAGAAAGATGATTTTTCAAATGGACTTCGTCATTTCAAATATTTTGAAATCTTAGAATCACATTTTAATGGATTAAATTACAGCTTTATTAGAAGTTTAAAATGTCCTCTTCATATTAAAATAAACAGAATGCAACCAAAACATTTAATGATCTTTGTTTATATTTCTGTAAATGAAGAAACTGTGGAGCTGTGTAGATTGTGGAATTTCTGAAAAGAGATTTCTTATGCAACAATGCAACAAATTGGCAAGATGAAGAAATAACATGATTACGGTNCATTTAATGATCTTTGTTTATATTTCTGTAAATGAAGAAACTGTGGAGCTGTGTAGATTGTGGAATTTCTGAAAAGAGATTTCTTATGCAACAATGCAACAAATTGGCAAGATGAAGAAATAACATTATTACGTTAAACTAAAGTAAATATCAGATTAGATTGTAATAACAACACAAGATTAAGATATAACATGACCACGTTAAACTAAAGTAAATATCAGATTAGATTGTAATAATAACACAAGATTAAGAAATAACACGACCACGTTAAACTAAAGTAAATATCAGATTAGATTGTAACAATAACACAAGATGAAGATATAACATGACCACGTTAAACTAAAGTAAATATCAGATTAGAATGTAATAATAACACAAGATTAAGATATAACACGACCACGTTAAACTAAAGTAAATATCAGGTTAGATTGTAAAAATAACACAAGATGAAGATATAACACGACCACGTTAAACTAAAGTAAATATCAGGTTAGATTATAAAAATAACACAAGATGAAGATATAACACGACCACGGTAAACTAAAGTAAATATCAGGTTAGATTATAAAAATAACACAAGATGAAGATATAACATGACCACGTTAAACTAAAGTAAATATCAGGTTAGATTGTAAAAATAACACAAGATAAAGATATAACACGACCACGGTAAACTAAAGTTAATTATATGTCTTAAATCATAACTCATCACGAGGTCGCAAAGTCGTGCCCACAATGTCGCAAAAATAAACCTTCTCCTTCTGTTCACGTTCAAAATCGTATTTTTGGGTTAGTTTAGAAAATAAAAATTAATCTTATCATCGAAAATAAGTAATCTTGTTCAATTATTAGTTTATATTATCTCATTATTCTAGTTTCTCATTTTTCACAGAGATGTTCTGCAGATTTTCTAGAATTGTTATTGAAAAGACGACATTTGAAGAATTTGAAGAAATCTGCGAATAAATTCAAAGAAAATAAGAAATTCAATATAATAAT